TCCCTACACAGACCAGCTTACACGCTCACGCCCACACTTCCTTCGGACCTCTGCTCAAACACCACCTCATGAGACAAGGCTTCCCTGACCTCCCTACACAAAACTGAAACCTGCCCCTGACCTTTCACCCCACACTCACACTCACTTTCTCCCTTATCTCTTGGTACTCAGTACCATATGACATAACAGCTATTTCTTCATTCATGTCTTCATCTTCCCTATCAGTTGGATATAAGCTCCAAGAGTGTTTGGACTTTGCTTTGCTTACTGCTGAATCCTCAGTGCCTAGAAAGTGGCAAGCACATAGCAGGTGCATAATAAATATGTTACATGAATTAATCTTGATAGGAATTTAGCTCCTAGGTCTCCAAGACAGCTTGTACAATCTTTTTAATCTTCAGGACAACATCCATATAGAAATATTCTTTATAATCTTGAAAAAAAACTGGCTTAAAAAAGTGATGAGGAAAGCTGTGTGGCACAGCTAAAAAAGAAATAAATTAATAAATAAATGCAGGAAACGTCAGTGTAACCAAAAATAATGTAGTTTAAAAAAAAATGTGATGAGGAGGAAGAGAAGGGGAGGATAAATAAGAATAATTTTACCTCAACGGTAAGTTAAGCACAGCAGAAAAGCAAATATATAAAAAGTGCCAAATAATTCAGATTGAATTTCTTAATATCACTTTAAGAAAATGCAAATAATTACCTGCATCACTGACTGGCACTTATTCTCTGATTGAACTACATCATTTCTTCACACTTACTCCTTCAAATGCATATAACGTGTTTTTCAATGTGTAAAATAATATATTTTCAATTCTTTTTGAAAAGTGAGCATATCATTATTGCATTTCAAAATCTCAAAACTGTATTTTTTCAACTCTAGAGTAATGCAAATAACCCAAAATTAGAATCAGGAGACCCAGTTTCACATTACCTGTCTCCAACTATCTTATTTGGCCTTGGGGTGGCCATTTAAACTCTCTCTGAAAATATCAACACCTTTCTCATTGTTATACCCTAAACAGATGCCCTAGAGAAATCCTGAAGCTCCTTCTGCTCTAAAATACTAAAACTTTATAGAATAGGGTTTTTATTTCTACTATCAGAGAACAAAACATAGATATTATCTTATTTTTATCAGTTAGCCAAATTTCAAGGAAGCTAATTCATGAAATATTAAATAATGTTTTTAATAAATATCTCATACATTACTCAAAACTATATTTACATTTATATTAAAATTTTTAGGTCAAAAATATTAAAATTTTAATGCTCAAAGAGAAAAAAATTAGAAAATCTAGCAAAATACTTCTGAATGTTTTTCTATAACCCAAGAAAACTCTATTCTCCCTGCCTTTACCACAGTAATGAAGACCTTCCAGAAAAACATTTCAGTGAGTAGCATAAAACCTGTGATTTTAAAAAAACGCTATTTTGACTTTTAAGTTATTATCAGTCTGAAGAGCTCCTCCAAATCAGAACTATTATAGAATCCACTCCCAAACCACTACTTGGCAACAAAGATGAATCTACCTATTACCAGGTTAGGATAGCAGCTATTATCATGGCCCCTTGATTTCTTTCAAGTAGCTCCAATGGAAAAAGCCTCAAGTGAATAATAAAGATCTCATAATAGCTCTTAAGAATTCGTTAGATGGTAGAAGGCACTAAAATGAACTCGGGAGAGTTAAAAAGAAAAAAGAAAAAAAAAAACTCTCATCTTCTGATAAGAAAAAATAATTAACCTGACTTAATGCACCCACGAAGGCCTTCCATAAATCAGACCTTTGTACTCCAAGAGCCAGATTAAAACCATATATCAAAAGGGTATGTAGATATTGTCTCGTAAGCACACGCAGAGCATTTCTGCCTCTGCGTGGGCTGCAGGTCTTTCCGCGCAGAGGGGAGTGTGAGATACGCACGGTGCTGAGTTTGCCGGAGGTGATGATGATGCGCCTCTCGTGCAGCATGCTGGCGTAGAGCTGCAGCATGTTGTTCGCGTCCACAGCCACAAAGTACTCCGTGAGGTTCCTCTGCACAAGCCAGAGACAACTGTGTAAGTTAACAGGGAAAGTATCTGATACGTTCGCCACACAGTCTGAAGTACAAACAATGTTAGGAGAGTAAGTGGTATTCATTAAAATAATTAAATTTAATTCTATTCTGCCGCCACACAGAGCACGTAGCCTTCTACTATTATTTGAAACATAGCCCTACTCTAGGAAAACATTCTCAGAGGGTGATCAGAGCATCACCTCTTTCCCACCCTCCCTCCCCAGGCACCTGAAAAAGAAGCCTGTTTTCTGGGCCCCAACCTAGACCTGCTGAGTAGTAATCTTCAGAGTACAGCCCCAGGAATCCATTTTCTAAACAAATACTGCCAGTGGTTCTTACATACACTGAACTTTGAGAACTGCTGCTCCAGAAAATACATTTGAGTCTCCCTCTGTTTGCCAATCAGCCAGCAGGCAATATCATTGCCTGATACTATAGACTATGCATAAGGCAACCACAGGATGAGATGGGTTTATAAAGCAGACCTTTGATTCTTTATTAAAGAAGATCTCATTTATATCCCATGTCAGGCCTGCTTTATACCACTATAACCAAATAAAAGTTGGTGTTAATTTGATTCCTTGACTTAACGCTTCAAGTTGTTTTCCCCACATAGGAACAAAACTGGGGTAAGCTGCGTTAACTTTCACTTTTAGATCCTCTCCTTCTTACTTATTTTTAATTTTCTGTACTCAAACTTAAGCCCATCAGAAAGCAACAAGTGATAAAAAGACTGAATGAGAGATGACAATAGACTGAAACTGCAGTGCCAGGTGCACTATGACCCAGAAGGCTAAAACTTCTAGTTGAGCAAGAAACTAAGAAATCCAATTGTTTCTTCAATTTCTGTGAGGTACAGACTTTCCCAGAACAAACCAGTAATCACAGCAGGGCACATAAACGGAAACAGTGAGTGATGTTGAATTTGGTGGAGAGATTCATTTCCTGTTTCCTCTAGCTGAAGCACACCTCACCTTCCATTTCAACTCTTCATAATACAAAATTACTTTTATGTCATTCAACGTTAAGATTTTTCCTATAATCTCAAAGGTAATTTCTAGATGGGGAATTATTTCTCAGTGCAGAATGCTGCCTTATGTATAGGTCCTTGCTTTTTTTTTTCCTCTTCCCTAAACAGGACTTTTTAAAAATAAAATATATTAATAGAGATGTAAAAATGTATATTCTCAGTGGCAGTTTTTCCTTAGAAATGGTTCTTTAGAATGGTTCTTTAAAACTTTCAAAGTCACAGAAAAGTCTGTGAAGTTTGTTAAATCAAGCTATTAGCAGTTTATTAGTAAATTTAAGAAAGGTACGAAGAGGAGAGGCTAAAGCAAGAGACTGACTTGTATTAACAACCCTGATGTGAGGGGCAGGTGTGCATAAGTCAAGGCGGTCAGTCAGCCTCCAGGAAACCTAACAGACACCCCCAGCCCCCGGTGGACTCGCACAAGACTTGAGGGCCTGTGATGTGACCTGCTGATTTGATGGTCTATCCCAGGCCCACGTGAAGAGCGGCTGAATGCAGTCTCTCACAGGAGTTAACTGGACTCATCTGTACCAAAAATACCACTGACAGTCTCGGTTCGAAATTAGGAAATTTACAGTTGTCTTCTTGGACTTTGTTCATTCACTTATAACCCACGTGCTTTTGGAAACCAAACACTCAGCAGGTTCAAAAAAATTTTTGGAAGAACAGTAGAATTCTGAGGAAAATAATACACATTCCTTAAGTTGATGTTTCCTTCACTTTGATTGAATTATTTCTACTAATTCATTTTATCTTTCCAAAACAAAGCTGAAAAAAATTATGAAAGGAAATACTTCCTTTTCACACAGCATCCAAAAGTGTACTTGTAAATTCCATTTATCCATGTAAGCTTTTCTACAGAATTTTAATTTGTAATAACTACTAAAACACTGAAAATACAATCTACAATCAGGACTCTAAATAAATGTGAACTGTAGCAATTTTATAATTTCTTGTAGTATCCTTCAAGCCTTACAAAACATGTATTACTTACATTAAAAATCAGGAAATCAAGTAGAGAACATCTAAAATTTGAAAATATATATATATATATATACACACAAGGAATCTAAATACTATGGTCATTTCACTAAAGTAACTATTTGCGCGAAAATATTTCCCATTGCACGTGTTTATTCCCTGCCAAAAGGAGTCATCTCCTGAGACCTCTCTTCTGCCTAATCCGGGGAGCTCAGGACCTAACTGAACACAGACTATCCTAATGAACTATCTCAAATGGTAGAAATTGTTTTTCTCATATAATTTGTCTTATCTACAGGAGGTAAAGTAGCAGATACATAAAGAAGAAAAAGAGATAACAACATTATTCTTTATTTTTTCATTTTTTCTCACAGAGAGTTACAATGTTTTCTATTTCTCTACAAAGAAATCCTTAAAGAGTAAGACCAAAATAAATAAATTTCATAATATCAGTAGAATAAAAACATAGAAAACTTACACTCTCCGGTATTGTTGGGAGTCCAGTTACATCAGGGGCAATGAAGTAGGAATGCTAATCAACAGAAATAAATCACATAAGAAAAGGAGAATTAAAATTTGGTAGCAATTACATATAATTTGAGATTAAAAATTTTAAAACATATCAACTAAATAAATACCAAGGACTGATGCTCAGGGTTTGTTGAATTTGAGAGATTCTTAAATGAGATAGCAGACTTATATGAGATTTAACAATAACTTTCTCATACAAAAACTTTAAGTGTTGGTTAAAAATATTTCATTTTAAAATTGAAGTGGGAATACTAGAAAAAGTTATTATTAAGACGAAAAAAAGCATATTACTGAAAAATAGATAGATAATTTTAACACATTTGGTTTAGGGAGCCTGGAAAAATAAGGCTTGTTTACCCAAGAATATATCAAAATCTATTGAGATTTTTGAGTTCCTACAGTTAAGTCCCCATAAATTTCTCTGGTACATATCAGCCACTATATTATTTAGAAAGCAGAAATTAAAAATTTTTTTTAATATTTAAAACTTCTTAAAAGGTAATTAACCCAAAATATGACTTTTATACACCCACTAAACAAATGTTAATTAGCTTCTATAATATTCAAAGCAATACAACAGTTCATAGACATATTTACACAAAAAGCATACTGTGCACACCTTCACGTTTCACAGAATGTTCCCAAATTTTACCACCCAGATTCAGAATACAAGTCAATCACCAAAATCATTTTATTTTCTGTTCATATTAATCTCCAAAATCATTTTACTATCTCAAATAAGGACCTATTTAATATTGTCTTATAATTAAAGATTTGGGGGCAAAAAACCATTCTAGCCAATACTGAGCACCACTGAACGAGTCAGAGCAAGGCTAGTTGGCACCGTCATCGTGCATGACTTGCAGGGTGGAAGAACAAGGTCCTGAGACCCTGGACAAAACATGTGACAGATACCCATGTAGTGAGCTCACTTTGACATCACCACCACTGACCCGAGGGTAAGCATGGATTTGGTCTCTATTAGCTACTTGTATTTGGATGGATTTTTAATAGCACTGTATTTCATAAAGCTATGCTTTAAAAGATAGTATAAACAGAAAATATAATCCAAATGATTAATTTTCTTAAAAGAAGCAAATTTACCACTTCCCAAAGGACTAGAGTGAATCTTAAAGACATAGTGAAAGAAGTAATTAACTTCCCAATTTAAGAGTGATTTTCAGAAGCCAATGTCCTTTGAACTCACCCGTGCTAGGGAGGGCTGATCTTTCAGAACTTGCTCACTGGCAATAAATATCTCTTGGTTCTTACAATACATAAGAGACAAAATGAGTACTTTACTTTCATGGGAGAAATTTACACAACAATTTGCTGTGTATTTGAGACAAACCCATGTAGCCACATTATCCGCTGAAAACATCTGAACAGCATTCATTACAAATGTTTTAAATGCTGATTTGCTAGTTTTATGCTAGAAAAATCTTGAAGTACTTTAATTCTCGACTGAGAGTACAGAATTCTGTGGATATTTAATGGCTTTGAAATGTACTTTCAAAATAAGCATTTACATTAGATATTAACATTTCATATCTCTGTGATATTCTAGTGGTTATAATGTCAAGTCTTGAAAAACTCATGTGATGGAATATTCATGAAATATGAAATTTTAAGAAAATCACAGCAGTTTCTCAAGCCTTGTCATATTTTTATAATGGAAATTCTGCAAACAAACAAAAATTTCTTTTCCACTTGTGGAGGAACAAAAATGCCTATGACCATCAATTTTAACCTGACATCACAAAACTAAAACTGTACTAGTAGGTGAAGACAAGTGTTTTCATCCCAGTTTTGCTGGTCATTAACTGCACAGCACTGGCACGTGACTTTATAACCTATTATTGAAGTCAAATGAAATTACTAAGTGGACTTTACATAAAGGTTTATCAACCAGCTGGATTTAACAATATCTAAGATACTGTACTGAGAACAGGTGAACAAGATTTGAAGCCTATCACAGACTACTGATTCAAAAGCTTATATGTGGGGCTTCCCTGGTGGCACAGTGATTGAGAGTCTGCCTGCCGATGCAGGGGACACGGGTTCGTGCCCTGGTCCGGGAGAATCCCACATGCCACAGAGCGGCTGGGCCCGTGAGCCATGGCCGCTGGGCCTGCGCATCCCGGAGCCTGTGCTCCGCAATGGGAGAGGCCACAGCAGTGAGAGGCCCGCGTACCGCAAAAAAAAAAAAAAAAGCTTATATGTGAGGCTTAAAATATAAAAATAACCATCAGACATAGAAATACAACACAGTCACTCAAATTCCTTTACCAGGATTATTTCGGATATAATAAAAATCCTCTCCTTATCAAATGAAACGTCAATTTACTAGCAACTAACATTCAAATAGCTTTTCGTGGTATATCTAAATATATCATTTCATAAAATTCCCCAAACAACCTTCTCAAAAACTGATTCACTAAATTTCTCAAATGGATAAAAGGGAACATCAAAAGAGATTAACTTTTTTGCCTCACATCACACATTTAGTGACTGTGATTTAAACCAAAATCTTCTAGTCTTTGGGTATTAAGAAGCCTAGACGTCTTTGACTTACAGTTCTTATTAATAAAGGTAAAGTGTTTCAATATCCAATATTTCTGAAATGTACTTTTATAAGATATTTAGTTACTCCTGAACAAATAAGACAGTCAAATTTAGAGAATACATTTTTATTTCTCAGCTCTCCATAGCTGCCTCTATCATCTTAGCACTTACAGTATGTTTCCTTCACCATTTAACAAAGTGTTAGAATCACTTCATACATACAACTCTTCCAAAGAAAAACACTTATTTTCAGAAAATCCAGAGCTTTTCCTCCTTCTCCGGGGCATTTTTCCTTGGCCTTTGTACTTCATTCCCACTAACTGTGAACCTGCATTCTTTCGGCTTCAGTGACGTCATACAAATCTGAGTTTCTCCTTAACTGCTCCTTCCTCCAGTCCTTTCCCTCCATGTGCTCTCTTTTTCCATACAATTTCTTTGGGCAATTAGACCTTACCCTCTGCTCTATCCTCTCTACATTCTGCCCTTTAAATCGCTCGGTTATTCCTACAACCACGTCTGCAGATGACTCCCCGATTTGGGTTAAAAATTCCAGGTTATGGCTTCCCTGATGGCGCAGTGGTTGAGAGTCCGCCTGCCGATGCAGGGGACACGGGTTCGTGCCCCGGTCCGGGAAGATCCCACATGCCATGGAGCGGCTGGGCCCGTGAGCCACGGCTGCTGAGCCTGCGCGTCTGGAGCCTGTGCTCCGCAACGCGAGAGGCCACAGCAGTGAGAGGCCCGCGTACCAAAAAAAAAAAAAAAATCCAGGTTATCCTTAGCTTTCCAGCCCCCAATCTCTAAATGACTACATAACATTTATTTCCACTTTGGGATTAAGCAACAAAAGAGGATGCAGACATAAAGGGGCAGAAAACATTATGCTGTTAACAACAAGGGAACATTTCACAAAGGTGGGAACTGAGCTAGTTCTAAAGATACATAGTCTACAAGAGGTTTTAGAGGAAGCTGTACAACCAAGAAAGCACAATGTTGACTCGAGAAGATGAACAGAAAACTGTGACCAGAGTAGAGAATCAATTCATGGGGAAAAAAACTGAGACAGAAAAGTGAAAAGCTGGATTGAGGCTAAGAAGTAGATGGTCCTGAAAGGCCAAAAATTTGGACAAATTCTACTGAAAATGGGGGACTACTAAAGGTTTTCATCAGGGGACTTTATATAGTTGAAGGAAGTTTGATCTTACAGCCTTTAGAAGGGACTGGGAGGAGAGGCTGTAGACTAAGGACTTCTTGAAGTGATGAGCACCCAGACTAGGCTGCTGCCACTAGAAATATAAAGAAGGAAACCACAGAGGAGAACACTATGATCAAACAAAATTACAGGGGGAAATCTAAGCAAGAAGAAAGTTATTACCAAAGAAAGAATGAAGTAAAGCTAACAGTTTCCTTATCTTGCAAATACCGTATGCTAACACATATATATGGAATCTAAAAAAAAAGGTTCTGACAGACATAGGGGCAGGACAGGAATAAAAACGCAGACGTAGAGAATGGACTTGAGGACATGGGGAGGGGGAAGGGTAAGTTGGGATGAAGTGAGAGAGTGGCATGGACATATATACACTACCAAATGTAAAACAGATAGCCAGTGGGAAGCAGCTGCATAGCATAGGGAGATCAGCTCGGTGCTTTGTGACCACCTGGAGGGGTGGGATAGGGAGGGTGGGAGGGAGACGCAAGAGGGAGGAGATATGGGGATATATGCATACATATAGCTGATTCACTTTGTTGTACAGCAGGAACTAACACAACATTGTAAAGCAATTATACTCCAATAAAGATGTTAAAAAAAAAAACCCACCAAAAGACCTGTTAACACGATTACATACATTTCAAATTTCTTTCTCCTTCAATTTCTCTTGCATCATTATATATTTTCCTTCCTTAATTAGGACAGTTTATTGTTATTTTGGAAGAACCAAAATAAACATAGGTAAATTTTAACATTCTATTATATGCCGAATTAATGAGGAAAATTAACGAAAACATTCATATTTTGTGATTATTAATTTTAAACACTTACAAAGCCTCCCAAAGTACTAGGGTGATTTTAGTTATAGACAGTACAGTTCATTAAAGGTTTCAGTGGTAAATAACCTATACCACCACAGCCTTACTGCTTTGAGAAACTTTAATCATATTGCCAGTATTTGGTGATTATACTAAAAGATGTATTGAAGTATTGGTAAAGAGTTTTTTAACCCAGAATCTTTATCATACAGTTGGTTATATAGTACATTTTCAATACTTATTATGTACTATTTTCATTTTATGAGGGGTATTTGGTATTGAATACTTGTGTGGGTGTGGGTGTGTATTTCCTTATTATGGATAGATTTTACCTGAAAATCAATGTTCCTTGCAATCAAAATATTCTCAGGTTATTTGGTAACTTTTAGCATATAATTTAAAAATCTGGGATTTAACAACTACTGAAGTATATATACATCTATCATATCATGTTATGATAGTTAAAGCATGTTAGAAAGCCTCAATATCACCATGTAGTAATGTCAGTACAGGCATTGAAGTCTTCCTGGCAGCATGGGTGACTCAGCAGAGTTTCTAAACTGCTGTGACTCAAAACATCAATTACTGACTCAATACTTACCACACTCAAATTGACAGGAGTGTTTGCCTTTGGTACTGGCTGGTTATAGAGTGATTTGAGAGTTTCATTCAAATCATCTTCCTAGAGTTAAAAAAAAAAAAAGTACATTTTATAAATGGAATAGGAACTAAGTAAATACAATTAAAACTACTTGACAAAATCATTCACTGTACCTACTCACTTCAGACGTGTTATATACAGGCAGACCCTGGAGATATGGCGGGTTCAGTTCCAGACTACCGCAATTAAGCAAATAGAGCAATAATGCGAGTCTCATGCATTTTTCAGTATCCTAGTGCATATAAAAGTTATGTTTACACTACACTGTAGTATATTAAATGTGCAATAATACCATTATGTCTAAAAAAAAACAATGTCATACCTTAATTTAAAATACTTTATTGCTAAACAATGTTAACCATCATCTGGGCCTTCAGCAAGTCAGAATCTTTTCACTGGTGGAGAGTTTGCCTCGATGTTGATTGCTGCTGCCTGATGAGGCTGGTGGGTGCTGAAAGGTGGGGTCACCGTGGCAGTTTCTTCAAACAAGGCAATAAACTTTGCTGTATCAACTGACTCTCCCTTTCATTGGCAGTCTGCGATGCTGTTTGATAGCATTTTACTCACAGTAGAACTTATTTCAAAATTGGAGTCAATCGTCTCAAACCCTGCTGCTGCTTCATCAACTAAGCTCATGTTATATTCTGAATCCTTTGTTGTCATTTCAACAATCGTCACGGCATCTTCACCAGGAGTAGATTCCATCTCAAAAAGCCACTTTCTTTGCTCATCCATAAAGAAGCGATTCTTCTTCTGTTCAAGTTTTATCATGAGATTGTAGCAACTGTCACATCTTCAGGCTCCACTTTTAATTCTCACTTCCTTGCTATTTCTACCACATTTGCAGTTACTTCCTCCAGTCAAGTCTTGAATCCCCCAACTCAAAGTCATCCAATAGGGTTGGAATCAACTTATTCAAGCTCCAGTGAATACTGATATTTTTACCTCTTCCCATGAACCAAAAGTGTTCTTAATGGCATCTAAAATGGTGAATCCTTCCCAGAGGGTTTTCAATTTACTGTGCCCAGATCCATCAGAGGAATCACTATCTGTGGCAGCTACAGTCTCCCGCAATGTATTTCTTAAATAATAAGACTTAATAATAAATTTTAAAATGATAAATACAATAAATATAAACATAAATTTAAAATAATGATAATAATAAATAAAAGTCAAAATTACTCCTTGATCAATGGGCTGAAGAATGGATGTTGTGTTAGCAGGCGTGAAGAAAACAATAATCTTGTTGTCCATTTCCATCAGAGCCCTTGGGTGACCAGGTGCATTGTCAATGAACAGTAATATTTTGAAAGGAATTTTTTTCTGAGCAGTAGGTCTCAACAGTGGGTTTAAAATATTCAGTAAACCATGCTATAAACAGATGTGCTGTCATCCAGGCTTTGTTGTTCCATTTATAGAGCACAGGCAGAGTAGATTCAGCATAATTCTTAAGGGTCCTAGGATTTTCGGAATAATAAATGAACATTGGCTTCAACTTAGAGTCACCAGCTGCACTAGCCCCTAAGGAGAGAGTCAGCCTGTCCTGTGAAGCTTTGAAAAGTAGGCACTGACTTCTCCTCTCCAGCTATGCAAGTCCTAGATTGCATCTTCTTCCAACAGAAGGCTGTTTCCTCTACACTGAATATCTGTTGTTTAGTGCAGCCACCTTCATTAATTATCTTAGCTGGATCTCCTGGATAACTTGCTGCAGCTTCTGCATCAGCACTTGCTGCTTCACCTTGCGCTTTATGTTAAAGGGATGGCTTCTTTCCTTAAACCTCATTAAACCAACCTCTGCCAGCTTCAATCTTTCCTTCTGCAGCCTCTTCGCCCCTCTCAGCCTTCGCAGAGTTGAAGACAGGTAGGACCTTGCTCTGGATGAGGCTTTGGCTTAAAGGAATGTTGTGGCTGCTTTGATCTTCTATCTCGACCACTCAGACTTTCTCCATATCAGCAATAAGGCTGTTTTGCTTTCCTACCATTCATGTGTTCACCGAAGTAGTACTTTTAATTTACTTCAAGAATTTTTCCTTTGCGTTCACACCTTGGCTAACTATTTAGTGCAGAGGAACGCTTGCATTTTCCATTTTAATTTTAAAGTCACAAACGTAGTTTTTAAGAAATAGGTACCATTTAAGTAAGATTATTGTACTAAGATGCAACTTTGATGCAAGATGCAAATATTCTAAATACTTCTTTTCTAGTAGCTCTTAGTGACTACTTGCCCCATGCTAAATGGGATGACGTAAAATATATAACACATCTACTTTATGGGATTTGTACAGTAATAATGTACCTTGATGTGCACACTCACTTTTCTGAATTACATATACAAATCCTGTAATAAATACATGAAGGTAGCCACTCATATACATAGTTACTTTTATTCTCTCTTAAAATGTTTATGTTGGGAGAATAAACCAAAGGTAAAGGCAGTTGTTCAAAGAAGTTAATCATTCATTTTAAGGGATATGGATACAAGACACACATGACTTCTCACAATTTCTCTTATAACTTGACTATGAAAACTTAATAATTCAGATCTCTACAAATTCTTGCAAAAGTGTGTACTCAAAACTGCCTATTTTCGTTAGTGTATATATGTCAATGCTACTCTCACGTCACCCCAGCTTCCCCCTCTCCCCCGTGTCCTCAAGTCCATTCTCTATGTCTACGAATGTAAAATAGATAGCTAGTGGGAAGCAGCCGCATGGCACAGGGAGGTCAGCTCTGTGCTTTGTGACCACCTAGAGGGGTGGGATAAGGAGGGTGGGAGGGAGGGAGACGCAAGAGTGAAGAGATATGGGGACAAATGTATATGTATAACTGATTCACTTTGTTATAAAGCAGAAACTAACATACCATTGTAAAGCAATTATACTCCAATAAAGATCTATTAAAAAAAAACAAAACTGCCTATTTGAAATTCTCTTTAGAATGACCTAAAAAGAAGGACTCTAAAGCATTCAACACTTGACCACTGAAGCAGTGAAATGTACCACAGGATAACCTGGATGATACTGATGTTCTGTGTATACAAAATTCTTATGGAAACAAAAATTTTTAAACGTCTAGCTTTTAAGAATCCTTTGTAGTTGCCTAATGCTGATCAGGTAAGGATAACTGACTGTGAATCTAAATTCCAATCTAAATACCCTGTGGCACTGAATTAACAATGAAAAGAAAAATTATTACACTCATAGATTTACTTCCAGTTATTGATTAATACTGTGAACTTATAATATTTTTTTCCTCTAATTAGGAACACAAATGTAGTCTCCCTCACTTCCTCTCTTCAGGAAACTACGGTATGATTTTTTACATATTCCAGTACTATGTATGGTCTCAGGGAGCATATGACATACAATAAGTATAAGTATTAAGTTTCTGAAGGTAACGTATTCAAGAGTTGGACAACTAATACAATTAATGTTGGTCCCACATGTTTACTCAAAAACACAAAGAACAAGAAACTATCATGAAGTAGAATTCTGGTTTTGAGTTTTCAATGTAATAATTGAATACTGCTATTTCCAGTTATTTTCTTAGGAAAATGAAAGACTGAATAGCTTAAATATAAAATTGTTCAAGTGTAAAATGACCTTCTAATGAATATTTAACAGAATTAAGTACATAAAGTGCAGACAGGGAAATGTTTACACACACAGCACACGCACACAAACCCTGGACTTTTGACAAACACTAAAAACATGCTATTATGTTATAATAATAAAATTTGATTGCCAAATTAGGAGACTGCTCACTAGAAGAGCAGAAGAAGTATCTTAATTTATTAATAATACATTTAGGGCATCCCTGGTGGCGCAGTGGTTGAAAGTCCGCCTGCTGATGCAGGGGACACGGGTTCGTGCCCCGGTCCGGGAAGATCCCACATGCCGTGGAGTGGCTAGGCCCGTGAGCCATGGCTGCTGAGCCTGCGCGTCCGGAGCCTGTGCTCCGCAACGGGAGAGGCCATGACAGTGAGAGGCCCGCGTACCGCAAAAAAAATAATAATAATAATAATACATTTAAATTCTATTTAATAAAAAGTATCTGGAGTAGTATTTGTATTGAGTTTAGGTCTGTTTTTAAAGGTATTTACACTGAATCTTAAAAGATGAGTGTTCTACCAGTGTTCTAGGAAATTTAAGTGGCTCCAAATAATTGGATAGTATATTGTTTGTAGAAAAGTGGGAGCAGATAAGCCAAGAAGGACTGTCATATGCCAGATCATGAAGCTTCTAATATGTCAAGCTGCACACGTGTTTAGATTTTATTCTAAGGAAAAAAAGGAGCCACTGAGAGGATTATAAGCAAGCAGTAAAATGATATAATCAGGTTTCAGAAAGATCATTCTTAGAGATCAGAATATGGTGGTACTTAACAACTAAGAATGTGTATAAAATGCCCATAAGTAATTTCTAGAGAGAAGAGAAAAGAAAACTAAGAACATAAGAACACCAAAATTCTAGGTGTAGATAAAGGAGAAAGTTCAAAGAAAGACTGAGGCTATAACTAAAAGCAAAGAAAACACAATGTCAGATGACCAAACAAAATACAGTCTCAAGTGTGGAGGAGTATCAAGTAAGAATTTAAGCAGATAGCCAGAGACCAGAAAATATACCCTACATTTCAAAATTAGAAAGCAACAACAGGCAATCACTGCAGATTTTTTTTAAAAAAACTTTTATTTGAATTAAATTGCATCAAATAGCATAGCTAATATCTTAGTAAATTAGTCCTTGTTTAAAATAGGGAAGAATGATTAAGGGGAAAATTTACAAACTATCATCCCAGAGAAGTTCATTAATTCAAAGCAAACTTCAGTTTCTGTTTTGTTTTTAAGAAAAAAGGATAAAGGTGTAAAGATAAATGTAAGAGCTAAAGCTATAAAATTCTTAGAAGAAAAAAAGAAATCTTCATGCATGACATTGGATTTGAAAATTATTTCTTGACATGACACCAAAAGCACAAAGCAACAAAAGACAAAAACAGATAAATTGGACTTCATGAAAGTTAAAAACTTTTGTGCATCAAAGGACACTATCAACAAAGTAAAAAGACAACCCACAGAATGGGAGAAAATATTTGCAAATCATATATCTGAAAAGGATTAATATCTGAATATGTAAATAACTCCCACTCCTCAACAACAACATGAAGACAGGATTAAAAAATGGCAAAGGACTTGAATAAGTAATTCTCCAAAGAAGATATACAATGACCAATAAGCACATGAAAAGACTCTATCTCGCTAATGTTTAGGGAAACGCACATGAAAGCCACAATCATATACCACTTCACACCCATTAGGATGGCCATTATAAAAACAAAACAAAACGAAAACAAAAAAATAACTGCTGGGGAGGATATGGGGAAACTGGAACCCTGTGCACTGCTCCTGGGAATGTAAATTGATGCACCACTGTGGAAAATGTTATGGCAGTTCTCCAAAAAGTTAAACACGGAATTACCATGTTATTCAGCAGTTCTACTTCTGGGAATATACTGAAAAGAATACACGGACTCAAACAGTTATTTGTACACCCACGTTCATATCAGCTTTGTTCACAACAGCCGAAAGGTGGAAGCAACACAAGTGTTCATCTAGATATGAATGAATAAACAAAATGTGGTGTGTGAATGACAGAATATTATTCACCCTGAAACAGGGAGGAAATTCTGACATATACTACAACATGGATGAACTCTGAAACATGAAGTGAAATAAGCCAGTCACAGAAGGACCTATACTGTATCATTCTAATTATACGAGGTACATGGTCCCATGCAGACAGACAGAAAGTAGTACGATGGTTGCTGCCAGGGACTTGGCAAGGGCAGGGAGGAATGGGAAGTTGCTGTTTAATGGGTAGAGAGATTCAATTTGGGAAGTAAAAAGGTTGTAAAGATGATGGTACTGATCACTGCAGAACAATGTGAATGTATTTAATGGCACAGAACTGTACACTTAAAGACAGTTAAAATGGTAAATTTCATGTTAGGTGTATTTTACCACAATTTAAAAAATGGGGAAAAAACATGACTTACCAGTTCCTTAGCCAAGTAATCTGCCAGAGTATTTAGAAGCTTGTAATATACTTCAAACCATGGCAGGTAACTGTAAAAAAAAAAAAACAAAAAACTTTAAAAATGTGTGTGTGTGTGTGTGTGTGTGTGTGTGTGTATGTACCATTTAGAATCAAGAAACAAGATGGCAAAATAAACATCAAATCTAGATTATTTCAAACAGGTTGATCCTAGAGGGCAAAAAAGAACTATACCCAGGTTCTCTTTACTGTTACAGTAAAATTTTACATATAATCTACTATTAGTTTTCATAAAGTAATCAGAATCCAAAATTCCATTATAAAGGTTATTCATTACATGCTTCTATTTTATGTTAGCAGCACTGAAAATCACTTAATCCCACTGCGTGGTATGCATGGTATGAGTGCACCAAAAGCACTCATAGAATAAAAATTAACCACTGTAATAAGATAATATCAAATAAAAACTAATTTTAAAAAGCTTTCAAAACAAAGATATAATCATTTCTTTTTAAATATTACTGAATTAAGTGTATAAAAAATAGAATTATGTGCTTATTAATTAAATCAATTCTTTGGAAATTGATGTTTACACAGGATGGTAAATTTCAAAATAAATATCAATAAAAGTAAGAAAGCCTATTTTAAAAATTGTAAATATTATAAATAGCATTTAAGTATCAAAAACACATATAATTTAAAAATCATTTTGATTCATTTTGCTAGACACAAATATAATTAATTTTATGAAAGCAAAATACTAAATCCAAAAATCAACTGTACAAAATAAAATCTGTACTCCTTTTCAACAAATTAAGGTATGTATATTTAAAATCTATCCAAAGTTTTTAATTGTTTATTAAAATGTACACTTTTCATCTATAAGAAGAGTAAATCACAAAACACACCAGTGTAGTTAATTATCAGTTAACAAATAATCATTTTTTTCTTCAGAGAATGACTACAACAGACTACTTTTTAAGAGAAAAAAGTATGATACTTTTACTACACAATTATACACTGACAAGAGTACAGATACACAAAACAGATTTCATAATCAATGACTAGAGCTTAGAAAAACAGCATTCTTTCTGCATTTTTTTCATATAATGTCTGATTTATTAGTGACCATGAATGGTACTTTTTAGTTAGGAGTTGCCTGAAGTCATAACAAAAGAACAGTCAGGTAAACGATAGTATCCTTACTCAGCAGAATGCTATAGAGTTCTTTAAAATGATCATTATAAATAGTAAGTAATGATATAAAAGATGCCTATCGTATTTTAAAATATCTACCAACTTTTCATTAAATCTAGCATATTGAGTAGTACATCCATTTATCTCTGTGCCCTTTGGAAATGTCACTAAAATGACTGTAAATAAATAAAAAGGGTATATAGAAAGCAACACAGGTGAATGGCTTTGTAAAGGTGGTAAGCAAGCAAAGAATACCTGACTTTGCAGAAAAGAGAAAACCAAAACCTGAGTGTCAAGAGAAGCAAAAATGACCATCAGCCAATAGACTGGCCCCCACAGGATCCTGAGACACTGATCTGGGAATTTCTCAAAGGAAAAAAACACCTCAAAGGCCCTATATTTTCTTGTGAAACCAACCACTGCACATACAATGATGCTAATTCAGTTTAGTGCCTCTATCTTAAATATAAATTAACGGTCCAACCACCAGATATTTGAGGAAATACAGACATCAATACAAACATAAAAGGAACTCCAAGTAAACCAAGACAATACAAACACCAGGTGAAAGTTTCAAAACTTATCATTAATATCCACAGGAGCTGAATAAAGAACAGGATGCTTTTTTTTTAATTGTTCTAATCTAGTATTTATTTTATTTTATTTTTTAACATCTTTATTGGAGTATAATTGCTTTACAATGGTGTATTAGTTTCTGCTTCATAACAAAGTGAATCATTTATACATATACATATGTCCCCATATCTCTTCCCTCTTGCGTCTCTCTCTCTCCCTCCCACCCTCCCTATCCCACCCCTCTAGGTGGTCACAAAGCACCTAGCTGATCTCCCTGTGCTATGCGGCTGCTTCCCACTAGCTATCTATTTTACATTTGGTAGTGTATATATGGAAGCAACCTAAGTGTCCATCGACAGATGAATGGATAAAGAAGATGTGGCACATATATACAATGGAATATTACTCAGCCATAAAAAGAAACGAAATTGAGTTATTTGTAGTGAGGTGGATGGACCTAGAGTCTGTCATACAGAGTGAAGTAAGTCAGAAAGAGGAAAACAAATACTGTATGCTAACACATATATATGGAATCTAAGGGGAAAAAAAAGGTCATGAAGAACCTAGGAGCAAGATGGGAAGAACAGGATGCTTTTAAACAAAATGAAATATAAAAAAGGAGAAAGAAGTGAAAAAATAAATTTTTAGACAATAAGAACAAGTTCTTATAAATTCAAAATACAAATGCTGAAAAAATTAAAATCAATAGAAAGGGGGCTTCCCTGGTAGTGCAGTGGTTGAGAGTCCGCCTGCCGATGCAGGGGACATGGGTTTGTGCCCTGGTCCGGGAGGATCCCACATGCCGCGGAGCGGCTGGGCCCGTGAGCCATGGCCGCTGAGCCTGCGCGTCCGGAGCCTGTGCTCCGCAACGGGAGAGGCCACAACAGTGAGAGGCCCGCGTACCGCAAAAAACAAACAAAAAATTACTAGAAAAATCTCGGAACTTTAGACATGAATTTCCACACTGAAAGTGCCACTGGGGTAACTGTAAAATAAATGAGCCAAACCAGAGTATCACAGTGAAATTCCAGAACAGGGGCGACAGAAAAGCACCTAAGAATTTCCAAAGAGACAAAACCGGTAGCGTACGAAGGCATCAAATCCAAAATGTCCCTGAACCTCTGTCCCAACAGCAATTCTGGCAAGTCAGAAGATAATGCCTCCAAAAGGCAGAGGTTAAATCCCTTGCAACCTAGAATTCTTTGTCCAGAGAAACTATCAATCAAGTTTGGGGATAGACTAATAGCAGTTTCAGTCTTTCTAGAACTCAAAAATTTACCTTCTCCATAATATTCTTGGGAAGTGACAAAATGGAAGAGTGAAGCAGAAAGGAGGAATATGGGGATATAGAGACAAGAAACTGAATTCCAGGGAAGAAGAGGTAAGTCTAAGGATAAATGTGCCAACGCCTGGTGAGCAACCAGTCCAGATGGAAACAGGAATGAGGGCCTTCGGTAGGATTTTCTGGGACAGGGGGTTGCAACAAGCTGACAGCCTCATGTGGGAGTCTGGAAAAACCCGGGTGAGTATGTGCCAAAGCTCTGACGGTTTGGGGAAAATCTGAGAATCAGAAGTTAGTATAGGTAATCTCAATTTTCACGTTTAAATTACTCAACTCTTCTAACCCTAGTGCTCAGATAGCTAATGTAAGACTTACTAGTCAGGTCTATACCCATCTAGGGAGTAGAGAGCAGAATCTAAGAATCAGAGATTCCACACGTTAAAATAACTGGAAGTACAGAGAATAAAACTTCTTAGGCACTAACTATATGTATGAAAATACGCTAGGTACTTTATACGTGTTCTCTCATTTAATTCTTATAATAATACTATGATGTATATTTGACTAAACTAAGGTAAAACAACTTATCCCGGGTCACAAAGCTACCAAATGGCAAGCCTGAGATTAGAACTCTCTCTGACGGAGCAATAATACATGCTCAGGGGTCTACCAATCACCCAACACAGGCGTGTGTACTTCTATAATGCCCAGCCCTTGAATAAACATTGTCCAATGACCAGATGTTTTCAGGAAGCTGCAGAAAATGTGAACAAAATTCATTCTGGTTTAATCTTAAATCAGCCTACTTATAATTTCTATACACTAAAGTAAATTCTATCTTCTAAAATTTGTTTAACTAATGTTCAGAGCGTTACCTTCCTTTCTGCCTCTTAAATTATATTTTATTCATATGGGCAAATTTCCCAGCAGATAAACATCTGTTTAATTTGACTCTTTCATTTCACAGATTGGTAATTCCTTCCAATTATAGATTTTAGTGCTGCTTATACGTTCATCACTGTGGATAAAAATTTTGAAAAGGATATGGCCTGCAACATGGTACAAGATCTCTGCCGAAACAACATAAATCTATCAACATCCAAGTATATTTCGATCAATAAGAAGACTCATAACTGCATTATCTATTGTCTAGCCAACATTTTTCTCTATATATAATGTGTTCATGAGCGATAACGGGACAGACTCTTTCAAATTTCTACAACAGCACTGCCTGATACACCAGTAAGTACCATCACCATAAAGAACTGAGTTTAGTTACACACAATGTGCTTTGTGAACATGTACTGGTTCTTGGTGATAACTAGCTCCTTTTTAAGAGTATGTATCATTCATGTTTTTTTAATGGAAACATCACTTGTATCCAAGTGAAACTACTCTGTAACCTAGTCATGCTCTTAGGATGTCAAGGAAACAGGGACATTTTCCGTTGCAAATAAACAACAGCATCCAGAGCGGAGGATGCAAACTGGCTACATGCAGATGTATCCAGCCCACAGTCATATTCTGTTTGGGCAATGCACCATTGTTGTTGTTGAACTGAGTAAGTGGCCAACTTCTAAATCAGATAATTCACTTAAATATCTAGATTTCTTCTCTTAAAAATCAAAAGAGGGGCTTCCCTGGTGGCGCAGTGGTTAAGAGTCCGCCTGCCGATGCAGGGGACGTGGGTTCGTGCCCCGGTCCGGGAAGATCCCGCATGCCGCGGAGCGGCTGCGCCCGTGAGCCATGGCCGCTGAGCCTGAGCTCCGCAACGGGAGAGGCCACAACAGTGAGAGGCCCGCGTACCGCTAAAAAAAAAAAAAATTGGTAAATTGGACTTTATCAAGGTTAAAAATCAAAAGAACTGGCAATACTGGTTACACTTTTTTTTTATTTTAACTTTGCAACAAATACCTAAAGCTGGGTAACAGCCTCTGTCTTTGGATGGGCCATGTGCTATTTATTTGGATCACCCCAATTTCCTACTGTCAGCCAAACCTGCTTATCTCATTTTAG